TCCTGCTGATGGAGAACCCTGCTGCTATTGTTAGCTCACAACTATCATCAAAGCCTTAATCTGGAGTAGGATTAAAGAAAATTGAGATTGTCCATCTTCATGCAGTGTTCTGTCCTCCTGTGCCTTTGGGACTATTACCATGAATGAAGGGGAACTTTAAAATTGTGGTTTCCCTAGAAAGACACTACTTAAGGAGGGTCTGAAGGAAAAAATAGGAGATAGCCTTGTATGTATTTCTATAGAAATTCTGACTTTCTTGTACCACTACTCCTCTTGATTATATTAATTGTGTCCATACACTTACATCCTGGGGGGGCCTTGAGTGTTGCAGTGTACTACAGCTTGTTACAACCAAACGTTTTCTTCTCTTTCAGCTGTTATGGTGGCCTTGGACGCTCATGTCTCAGTAAGCAGTTGTCTTCCCCCTCTCAATGCCTGCCTCACTAACCCATCTTACAAACCCATTCTCGTGAGACAGCGCTTTCTAAAGGAGCCAAATTCTGCTTGAAGCTTAACTGTGGTTACAATGCAAACTGCCTTCGCGGGTAGCAGGCTAGTTAATGTTTTTGAGCCTGTTTCTTGGGAAAAGTGTTGTCAAATGGTAGTAACATTAGCTGCCTGTATAGAAACTGTTGTGGTGAGTGACATAAGCATGTCATGATACAACTCTGAGTATGCATGTGAGGGGATGGAGGGTCAGGCAGGGTCAGTCTTTCAGTGAGGCTGATAGAAATTTCTCTCTTACTTTCTGACTCTTTCTCTGTTTTCACTGCAAATTTTAGTCTCCTCTGATTGATGGGATTGCACTTTCCCCTCTTCCCTGAACATCTCCTCAAGAAAAGGAGATGAACCTATTCCTCTGCATCTTTCTTCAGCCCCATGTTCCCCCTAAAGCTTGCAGGGGCATTAGTTATTGCGTGTGCCCCAGAAGGAAGGGGTGGTGATATTGCCAAAAAAGCAAATGTGGTCAGAAGACACAAAGGGGAATTAACTGGGTGTACTGGGACTAGTTCTTGGAAGGACTTTAGGATTTGCCACCCGAATGCTGCTAGAAAAGCAGGGGGGGGAAAAAGTGGGAGGGTTTTTGCCTGGTTCCAAAGCCTGCAGGCTGGGGCAGGAGCAGCAAGTAGATGGGGCCCGAGCCAACAAATAGTATTCAGCAAAAGATCCAACAGATCTGATATGACGAGGTTGAGTTTTGCTAGAGCGGTTTTCGTGGAACAAACCTATTACTGTGCAAAAGCGGTACTGCGTACACAAGAGGTGCTCAGTAACATACATGCATATATACACCTTTCCCTTACAGTAGCTGCGTGTCTCCTGCTTCAGCTTTCGGATGCGCTGGCACCTCAGCAAGTGATAGACAGCCTCAGAAACTTGAGAGGATCTGGGGCGATACAGACCATCAAGGTAATGAGGCTACAACAGGTAATACGTGTGTTGAAACAAGAGCAGAGAGCTCGCACAGTCCTCTCCTTCGCTTCACAAAGGGATCCCTCTGTCTTTCTGAGATGTTCCACAGCTGCTGCCCTGCTGCTCTCTTGGGTTTGAGCTGCTTCTAGCTTTCTGCTTTCATGCTGATTCTGTCTTGTTCTGCCTCTACTGAATTCAACAGCTGTTCTCCTTGCGTGCTCTTCACCGTCATTGGTAACTTCATAGAATCATAGAATAGAATCATAGA